CAGTGGAAAAAACCTAGATGAGAGGAGGGAAAAGGATGTAGGAGTATTGTCTCAGCCACCTCATGGGACATAACCAGCAGCCAATATTTGGGGAAAGTGATAGAAAACAAAAAAAATAAACCCAGCGTATGTAAACTAAGTTACATCTGTGAAACTTTCTTAAGAGGGCTTTAAAAGCTGTCAGTTGTTATTATCCACCAGCTTCAACACAGCATAACAGTTGTATTTCCTGTATTTCCTAGGGTTGTACTTCCTTAGCTATGCATTCTTGTAACTTGCACTGCGAGGTGGTGAAGGGAGTTGTGCAGTTTTGGCACAGTGACCTGTCCGTGTGAATAGCACGTGAGTGTACAAGAGTACCCCAGGTACTGTAGACCTGCATGTCCCCACATGTGATTGCATCACTGTGACTGTGTCTTCTGTTGCATGGGACATGGCTGAGTAATTTCTAAGAAAAGGAGAAAAGAAAGAAAGAACTGAAAACTAAGGGGGAGGCTTTCTAAAGAAAGGCTCTGAGGCCTGTACTAGATGTTGCAACCTGTGGAAAATAAGGCAGTAGCAACAAGGCAAAACAGGGGAAGGACTTCAGTATAGGTGGAACAGCATGATCCCCATAAGCAGCTTGATCTGTTTTGGGTGAGCTCATCATGATGGCAGTAACACAGAAGTGTATGATAATACTCTATTCTGGCTTTATTGCAACTTTTGTGCTGCTCAGAAAATATACAGCTTATTATCTAGTATCTTGCAGACACTAGACTTAAGCACATGCTAATCATAATCTTTCTTTTTTACTTTGTACTCTCTAGTGTAGTTATTACAAAATATTGAAATATTCTTTGTGAGTTTTCCCAAGTCATAGGAGTGAAATGATGAATTAAGCTAATATCAAAACAGGAAGTGAAATAAATGCTAAAACTGCACAGTGTGTGTGGGAGTAAATTAATTGATTGCTATTTTCCATCTGGTCCAGTAAATGGCATGTGTTGCGGTAAACAGCAAAAATGCAGTAGTTAGCAGTGAGGGTATGTTGTTTTACCAGGGATTTTCAAGGTTCTGCTTTACAAAAGAATGAAAGAGAGTTTAAGTATGGTTTTGATAACATGTATCTTGGAACCTAACTTTTATATCATTTTTCTTTTTAGCATAAACTTTTTTTTTAATCTCATAGTTATACAATGCTCTCTAAAGATTCCTTTTTGGTTTCCACAGTCTGACCTTTTTCTCTCCTAGTTCTTCTCAAAGCGTATCCTGATTGGTACACATTCTGCAGACCCCATTGTCTGTGGCAGCAATTTGATACTTGCTATCATTCTTTCAGCTGCTCCTTTCTCTTGGAGGCTTCCTCTCTGCTTGCCTTACATCACGTTAATTCATTTTTCTCTCTCTTTTCTCTGAGGAGGCCTATAAAGATATAGTAAGAGATACATGATGAATTTCTTCAAGTAGATAATTTAAAATGAATATCTGGCTTTCTTGGTATACGTGGGACAAGAAAAAAATTAGGTTTTGATACATTAGAATACATCTGGTAAACTCTTGATGCAGCAAGAAAATACATCCACCTGTATTTCTGGGAGCAATGGTCAGCCCTCAGCTCCCTCACCAATAAATCTGGCTTCAGTTAAATGAATTTCATGTTCCATCACTGTATTTTATTGTTCCCTTAGGTTACCTAAAACCATTGCTTTTGCTGCTGCTGCAGTCAGTGATGTTATAGAACTTTATACTTCAGTCTGACCAAAAGACTGCAGTTAACTATGGGTGATGATGAAGACAATTCAAACTTTCTCTGCATCATTTAATCTAACCTTGAATCATCTGTATGTCAGCAGAAATACAGCTCAGATATGTTGTCTCTTCACTATTCAACTTATTTATGTGATTCCCAAATTGTCTTCCAAATAGACAACCATCTGGATGTTTCTTAATTATTTTTCCAAAGACTTGTTAAAAAGTAATGATTGTTTTTTGCAGCCCTACTACAGTATTGTTTTAATGAAAAAAACCCACAAAAAATCAACCCACATGTAATTATTCAATCAAGTGTCTTCAACAGTAATAAGTACTGATAGGCTCACATATATGATACCTAAATATATTTCTAGGAGATAATCAGCAAAGCTAATCCTAGAATTTCCTTCTTTTTGTTTGTATAGAATCTTTTTCTAATACTTCAGCTTCTAGCACTTCCCAAAATTTCTAATGCTTTGGAAGAAATACTTTATTTTCATGGTTTCCATCATTGCAGGTAAAGTAGCAAACAGGTTTGCTGAGACAGTTTGACAGAGGCTTGCAAGAGGCTGATTGCTAAAGAGGAGAGCACGTCTCAGATCTCCTGCTGTCACAGAGGCATGAGGCATGTGTTTTCCTCCCCAGAATGAACCAGTTGATTTGGAGGCTGTAATGAAGCTGACCATCGGTAGACTTGCTGCCTGCCACTGACAAGGGATGCTTGATAGAAATGGAGAAAGATCTGTTTTGGGATGAAGGAATCAAGTTCCTTCCAGCATCTTTACTTTTCTAAAGAAAAAGAGAAGAAGAAAAGGACTCTGGGGTGTCTGCCCCTGCCAGGGACCAGGGAAGAGCTACCAGTCCTTTGTTGCTGCAGAGCAGGCTGGGTGCTGACTGATCAGCAGCAAGTGTTGGCTGAAAATACTCCTCCTGTTAAGTTAAAAAGTTCAAGCTGTGCTCAGTTTTCAACTCACAGAACCAATTTATGGGTGGTATGAGGAGATGAGGCTTTGTTGGCTTCTGTGAACTGGACTACAGTTATGCTGGTGGTGATTTAGGCAAAATATATTCATTCCAGCTTGATCTCAGAACCTTTGATTAAATTATGTTTTTCTCAATTTTCTCATGAAGGGCTACATCTGGTCATGTAGAAATAGCTTGTAACAACATTGAAACATAAATTATTTGATGAACTACTTAGGACTATTCACTTAATGCGTGATAATCCTGTGAACATGTTAATGAGCAGCAATTCTCTGATGATTGAACAGCTTTAAAATGTCTTTCTACTTATATGTCATTAGAATGAACTTGGCACTTCTAAAACATCCATTATTCATCATGTTCCAGTGTTGCATCTGACTGTGTATCACTAATTTCACTCACTTAACAAAACAATCTATTCATTACAATAGTTTGAAGCATGTTTTCTACATCAGAAAAACCCTAGTTAAATATAAAATATTACTTATCTTTACAAATATCGTAGAACAAAAAGTAGCATCCCAAATTGTAATTACACACTTAGCACATTTGATTACGCTACCTAAAACCAAATGGAAGTTTTAAGAAGAACCTGCAGTTGAAGTCAATTATTTTGTTAGCTGGAGAAGCAGAATTGATTAAACAGCTTACCAATAGCCCAAGGTTGACTTTTCTTTCTGAAATATTCAGCAAACATTTTCTCAGTAATCCATGTGTATTTATTGTCCTAATAACTTAAGAAGCAGAGAAAGAGAAGTTTTAGTTCAAATATGAATACTTCTTATAAATATATTTTTTTAATGGGTTTTCCTGCTTTTCCCATGTACTTTTATATTTTACAAGTCCTGGATCATTCCACACGTTGTGAACCCCATTAAATCCTACATTATCTTTGCTCCTTTTTGAATCTGTGTGTGATGGCTGCTTCAGAAGTGGTTCTTCGCAGCAAGCCCAAGAGATCTATTTCAGAAAGTGTTGGACTGCTGTATGACTCCCATGTTTGAGGATTTTTACTCATGTCCTGCAAGAGCTCTTCTCCTTTAAGTGGCAGACATCTTTTGGCAGAGGAGTTAAATAGAATATCAGCTAAATGAATCACTTGAAATAGTATCAATAGAAATGTGTTTTCTTTTCAGAGTAGCTAAATGGATTTCCAGCTGAATTAGCAAAATTCTGTTAAATAACTCTGGAGATGGGCTAATAACCTCCAAACAAGCCAGAAGACTTTATTCTCAGAGGGAATGAGAGTCTTACAAAACACACAAATATATGGTGATGAAACTTTCAATCTTTAGACGTTGAAAACCACTTCAGTCTTTTAATTTTGCTTTAAAAAGGCTTATTGGCCTGGCTAGAAAAATAGTCAGTAGTCACTTATGCTGGGCTTACTTCTCAAAAGTTTTGTGTTCAACCATGTTTTTAACACATTCTATTTTGGTCTTTTGTTGGAGTAGGATGTTTGGGCAGATGTGAGAGGTTTATGAATTCTTTCCTACTAACCAGTGGAGTTAAGGAGTCTCTGTTGGTTGTATTAATGCTTTCAGCAGCTCTTGGTAAAATATAAGTCAATATATTAATGATTAACATACAATTTTTTAAATAATGTGAATAAAATATGTGTTAAAGAGATGGAACAATTGTGTGATAAGAGGAAGACACTGAAAAAGGTGGACTTTGAAATACTTAAGTAAGCATGGGTCTCTCTGTGCTTAGCTAAGAATGTTGATGGCATCAGACTGAACTAAGAAACTCATCCTTGGATTCACTTTTTAACATTTCTGTCTCCTCCTGTGAATCACTATCCTTCTTTGCTCATAGCACAATAAATAAGAGTTAGTTTGCAATGAGTTAAGAATTAATTGCAGTGAATTTCTACTGAAGCACTTAAAAACTATTAATACAGCTTTTTTTCATCAATCTTTCTTTTAAAATGTCAGTTTATGGGACATAAACGTAATGCTTCATCTATGATAGTATCAAAATTGAATTAATGATGTCTCAAGCTTTCATACACCTTTTTATGGTTAGATTTCTGATGGTAAGTTAAACTTTTCCTTCCAACTAAGCTTGATAGTGTTTGTGGACATTTTGCTATATGTGGACATGTTGGCTACATTTATGCGTAATTCAACCTCTAAAAAGCCTTATGTTGTATATGGAAATAATTCGGAACTGTTTTATATGGAGGAATTGATATTAACCATGCAAATAATTTCTACAAAATGCTAGAGTAAGGACCGTTTTTAAATCTTAATTAAGGTGTCTGTATTTCTTTAATGCAGCCCCTGTTCTCCCTGGGGCATATCAGCAAAGCCAGACTCAAGGATATGGATACATGCACCAGACCAGTATGTCATCCGTGAGGTCCATGCACTCACAGCCTCATTCAGCAAGTCTGGTGAGTATTGGATTTAAAGGAGAGTTTTATTTGGTTTGCAACATCATCAGCAACTGGGAAATCTCTTAAATATGATTGAATTGATCCCTTGAGTTCTACAGTTGAACTATTTTATTGTCCTAGTCCTAAATGTAAGTGTCAGTCCTCATGTATAAAAAAGATTTAAGAGAACTATAGGCAGTGGTAAGAACATCAGAATGCATAAAAAAATAATTTATGATAACCTGAAAAATAACTGAATCTTTTATCTACTTAAAACAAATAGTAAATGCTTGGACAGTATTTCACAGGATGAACTTTGATGTTATGCTCTGTGATGAATTCATGCTCCTAGCCCTGGATGAAACCCACTGATCTCTTAAGATCACCCTGTTGATTTAAATTAGTTTCAATTTTTTTTGACTCACTGATTTTGTACTAGCAGGCTTTGTGCCTATCCACGTTACTTATTTCTTCTTGTATAAAGCTGACTCGGGACCTGTATTGGTGTGCCCTTTCTAATTCAGCTGGGGAGTCGTGCACAAACTTGTGCCTGATCCAAATTGAGTTATACTGGTGGGCAACTGAGAAGAAGCTTTATCACAAAACTGTGGCCATGTCATGAATTTATTAGTTGTGGTGGATGGGAATGTAAAGCTGGAGTGAATATTTCATTTTAGAAGTAACTGGTCATGGTAGGAGAGCTTAATGAGTATTCAGCTGGAATTTTTAGGAAATTGAGCTTCTTTCTTCCTTTTGAGCTCTTTATATGTAAAGTTCATTTTTAATGGTTATTATATTTTTTACATTATATTGCTGCCTAGAGATTTCATAGTTCAGATCCAGTCACCTTTTACCTTAAAAATATTGGCTTGCAATTTTGAAGTTTAAACTATTTTGAATGGATGCATATTTATTACATCTGTCACATTTTAGAGATGAATAAATATTTAAATATGAACCGAACTTATAGCTTGCTGAGCTTGAAAAAGTTTGTTTTCCAGATTACTGAAACTTGTATTTTTTTTTTGTAAGAGTGAAACTCTGTGACATTTTATATTGTAAAGATTGTGATGTTCTCTGAGGTGTGAGTGGTTTCAGGCTTGCCAGAGTCTTATCTGCCTGGGGCTGAGGGGGCTAACTTGCTGGAAAATCTGGGATCCAGATACCTGCATCTTTGAGTGAATCTATAACCTGAGAAACTCTTTGGACACCTGCATGACAGCTGTGAGACAGCTGATATTGGATTCAACCATTAATTTACAAGGATATCACAAGGCACTTGGGGAGCTGGCTGTTTTCCAGAAGGGCCAGAGTGTGAAAAGTAGGAGACGGGAAAGCCTCGACTTTGCCAGGAGATTTCTAGTAGTTGGGGAGTAAAGCAAATAGCATTTAAATCCAGTAAATAGAGAATGGAGATGCCTGCAAATCTTGAAATGCACTTACCAGCCTTTGCAGCCATATGGGCAGGTAGATGACTGCTATTGCCCTACTATCTCTATGTCCCAGCGACTTACCTGGCAGACTGTTGAAACATAGTTTCAGTCATCTTGAGGATCAACATCTGCCTCTCCTTCCAGAACTGGAAATGTAAAGGTAATTGGAAAAGGAAGGGAGTGACATTAAAGGATTTTAAAAATAAAGGACTGACTTATTTCGACAGGATTTCTTATCCCTTTTGTGAAACTGTTGTCGCTTGACGTCCTTGTAAGTGATAAGAGCTGTTTATCATGGGAAAACAGCAAACATGATGATTTGAACAGACCTTGCTGCTGTTAAAAATTGAGTGGGCTTCCTTGTAGATAATAAACCCCAAATATTTCCAGAAATCAAGGACCACTGGCCTGGTGCTGACTGCTAACTTGCCAGTCTGGTGATAAAGGCATGAGCATGATCTTGTCACCCCAGGGTGATGATTCTGCTCTAAAAGAGGCATCTCAGATGCATCTAGAAACCTGCTGTGCTCTCTTGCCTTTCCACTTTCATTCAAGAAGACTACATTTTTATTAGCCTGTGAAGCTTATCCAGGGTGCTGGACATTCTGCTCTCAGCTACTGGGATTATACAGAGGATTCTTATGCATGTGCTTGGGGGAAACCCCTGGTTAAGGATGTGTTTAAATGTAGTAATTAGCACAGACTGAAAATAGATGACAGGTTTGGAGTGCTTGTAAAATGGATTTGCTGTAGGAGGTCTGACAAACTTACACAATGTTTAGGTTCATTGCTTTCAGCTGCTTGTTCAGTTCTGGGCTTGGAGCAGTACTATCAGAGATGCAGTGTTGTCTGGCTAGCAACAGAGGGAAGAAAGAAGTATGATAAGAAAGTAACAGCAGGAGGAGATTGAAGGAAAGAAATCCTAGACTGAACAGTGACTTTAAAGCACAAACGGTTTTTGAGACTTAAGTAGAAGCAATGAAGGTGGCAAAGTCACTCATCAGTGCCTGAGTATGGCCAGGACATCTCTAGGGTGAGAGTGATTAAGATCCCATGGGTTATATCACAGTGGGGATAACTGAAGAGGTAGATGCTGTAGTAAAACTACTCCTTTCAGCAGATTTGTTGTATTGTTACTGAATCAGTGTCCCCAAAAGATAGAAATTCATTTTATAATCATATCCACCAATCTCCTATACTGAGAAACAGAATTTTTCTAATTTCTACAGTTTCAAAATTTGGTTTATTTCATTTTGAGCTGTGTTTTGTGTGAGGCATGATCCTAACACGATCTTTGGGTAGATTTTTTTCTTTCCCCAGATAAGTTGCATTATTTTCTGGTTCTTAACTTTTGCTCACTTTCTGTGAGCAGTTCTGCATAATGAGCTGAATTAAATTGTTGCTCAGATTACAAGGTGTTTTATAACAGATGCCTGCAGGCTGTTTACCTCTTTGGAAAATTACACACCTTGAGATAGCTAAAAGTGATAGGAAAACAAAACCCTCGTTCAAGTTGGCTTTCCCTGATAGCTATTCTAAGTGAAAGGATGCTGCAACAGGTACTGCTCCTTGCAAGGAGCCATCCATAGAATAAGTATAAACTAGTGGATGAAGTGGAAAAATGTATCTGTCAGCTCAGATCCAGCTAGGGAACTAGTTGGGCTTCAATTCTTCATATGCACAGGACTTAATTGTTCTGTCTAAGCAGTAGCTGTGAGATAGATCTTTGAGGAAGTGAAATAAGTGAGTATTTGACTGTTTTACAAAACTCTAAACTTTTCTTACAACCTGTTGTACTCAAAACCTGCTAAACTCACTACTGACAGACGAATAATTCACTAAAATGCATTTTAAAAATCCCTGCTTTGAGTCCTTTAAGCATTGTAATTCTCAATTATATAGCCCAGACTACACTCTGCAGTGATAATTAGGCATTAAATGCTAACGGGATTATTATGGAGATTTCTCCTGACAACCATTTAGCACCTAATTAGGTGTTAAGGCCATAAATTTAGGTTTCTCAGCAGCATTTAGGGCCCTAATAAATTCTTTTGAAGTTCGAAATTACCAGCTTGTCTTCACAACTGTGCCACCACAGTGATGTAAACAAGCTGCCTTTAAGGAGACAGCAGTAGTATGTCCTTTGCCCTAGTGCTCTAAGGATGAGTGAGCATCCTTCTGAGTGAGCAAGAACTCTCTATTTTTCCAATTTCATGTTAGTTTAATAAAACATTTAATCTCTTCTCCCAGTCTTTGCCCATTTAAGGGAGACATATAAGCATGGCTCAGAGCAAAATCCATTTGCTGTCTTATGCCAGATATAGATTTATTACCATTTTTCTTAAATGGACCCTCTTTTGAAATAAATTTTTTAAAGGGCTAACGGCTGCTGAACTTGTTATAATAGCATGTTTTTCACTGGTTTTTCGGAGTTAGTTTAGAGACATCAGTTGAAATAGTTGGGAAAAAAAGATTCTTAAAAGCAGAGGGTCTTCTGACTGCTAGTTCTCTTGTTTATGAATCTTTAAGGAATTTTTGGTGATGATAGAACACACCAAATTAGTTGCTTGATGTAGTGCATAAACGATGATGCTTTTTTTCATCGACTCCCATAAACATTTGGAAGATATGTAGGACCCTCTGGCTGAAAATCAGTCTTGGTCCCAGCCTGTAGGGCAACAAAATTACAAGGCACTGCAGAGAACAATTATACAGAGCAAGACTGAAATACAGTTCAGAGTAGACTTGTCAGGAAAGGTGGTCTCCAACGGTCTCAATTGTTTGAACAGGAGTTGATTCTCCATACTGTTTAATCTGCACTACCAATTATAAAGGCAAATCAAAACAAAAAGTATATTTCTAACATGGGAACAGAAATGATAAATATCCTCATAGTGTTTGGAATAAATAATTCCACATTTTCAACATGTAACAAAGGGCCTCCTCGATCTGTGTGGAGCAGTCTTCCCCTTTTCAGAAAATAGTTTTACTAAAAACCTTTAAAACTAATAACTAAAACTAATCCAGAACTGTTTTCCTCATCTGGGTAGCAGAACAAAGTTTGCTATCTATTAAAAGGTTCAGACAATAATACTAGGCATAACTCAAACATTGACCGTTTTTACCTTTTTTTCTCTTCAAATCATTCCACCAGAAGATTTCAGCTACTTATGATAATACAGCAAAAATTACCAAAAGGGTAATTGAATATTATCAGTGATGCTTGAACTGCTCTTGACTTCTCTCGAGAGCCAGGGTAAAAAAAGGAAGGTATTCCTGGGAATTTTAAAATGAGCTATTTTTGTTTCCTCTGTTAAGATACAAGGGGAGACTCTTCCCTGTGAGTTTGAAAATCCAATTGGAATTCCAGTATAAAATGATAGCATTTTATTGGTTATGAGTGAAAACAAATACTCTTTTTAGAAAAATAGAGAAAAAAACCTGATATCTTGGCTTACAGTGGGCAGAGTTGTAGAGAAATTTGGCTTAGCTAATAATGAGACTTTATGTGCTAAGAGGGCATTTTATCTAGTATGAAAAAATGAGTATTCATAAAAATTATTTTTACAGACTTTTTGAACTCTTGTCTTGTTTTTTATTTAGATAGTAGTGTGTCATAATTCTTAATTCAGGATAAAATCCTAATGAAATGAAAGACATTAAGTGAGATGGCAGAGTTAATGACCTAGATGAAAACTATGTTTCTTTTTGTAGAGAAGACATAGGAGAAGCTATTTGGGAATCATGCAAATAGGAAGCAGAACCACAGATAGCCATGGCTGGATGTAATTGAACTGTTACTAATGAATAAATGAAACAACAATTAGAATATTTCAAGATGCAGTGAATGGCTTGAAATCTGTTTGCATGAGGTCTTTGGACAATGTAGGTTAACAAAAATAATTATTTTGCTACTCAGTATTCACTGTATTTTTGACAGGGTGGAGAGAGTACCATTCCTTTTCAACAGGTAACTTGTGATTTTGCTCTATGCCTTGCTCCCTCTATTCTTTTTTCCTTCTCTTTTCATCTTTGTGCAAAGAGAAGGAATCTATCTCTGTTTAGACTTGAGACTTTACAGCCTTGTTTCCTTTTCTTCAACAGAGAACATACAGAGCTATGTATGACTACAGCGCTCAAGATGAAGATGAAGTTTCCTTCAGGGATGGTGATTATATCATCAATGTGCAACCAATTGATGATGGCTGGATGTATGGTACTGTTCAGAGAACTGGGAAAACAGGAATGCTTCCAGCAAATTATATTGAGTTTGTTAACTAATTTTTGTCTCTAGTCCTTTGAGCTTTATTATGATTTACTCAAAATCTAAGCTTTTAGAAAAAAGTCAGAAGAATCTTTTAAGACTACATGATCATTACGTTATCACTGCTATAACAGTTTGCATTCTCACTCAGAATCCAATTTAGAGTTCTTTACAGATAAATAAACCATAAGAAGCTCAGAGCTTCTTATGAAAATAGCATGCCTTATAATCATGCTCTCTCAAAATGAAAAACATATTTGGAAGCGTGGTGCTTCCAATCCTATAAAAATTTTGGACAATTACCTGTAAAGGGGAAATACCTTTTCCCTACACATCAAAGAAGTTATTTCTCTTTGTAAAACCAACCATAAAATTGATGCACTTCTGGCACTCTGAAGTCACAGGAGGTTAACACACTGAATTTGAACACAAATTATTTGAACTTCAAATTATTAGGAAGGTGTTTAATGTTTGAGCAGTTACCATCCTAATAAAAAGTAAAATGTTTAGTAGATAATTGTAATTTGAAATAATGACAAGTAATATGCCAGTAAAAAACCCAATAAAATCCCCTACTGTCCAGCAGCCTGACAGTAAACAGGTCCATTTTAACAGCAAAATTTTCCTGACTCTTGCACACCCACATTTATTTCTGGAATACCCATTTTTTCTTATTTACAAGTGATCTATCAGCTTTGCTTGCGTCCCAACCCATCAGTTAGATCCATGTCTAGAGTCATGATTCTTCAGTATCTTTTCCACAGAAGATTCCTTTCAAAGACTATCTAAAATATAAAACCTGTGAACTCTTCAGTTTCCTTCTAATAATAACTAGCATTTAAATAGAAGCTTCCATTAGGGCAACGTACAACCAGTAATTCATGTTGGTTCCTTTACTTTCACTTGTACTGCTGTAAATAAACATCCCGTGTGAGGCCCCGGTGCTGTGCAGTCACACAAAGCCTGCAGTCATATTCCTCCTTCTTACCTACCACAGGTAACTCGCTTAATGGCTGCTTTGCTGATGAGCTAATGTACCTACCCCTGCTTCAGAAATACTTATGCCTCCACTGAGGAATGGAGGAGAGCTCTGTTTATTGTAGTGCATTTCCGATCAATGACCTGTTGCTTCAGTTTACTCAAGAAATCTTGGTGATCCAACAGTGGGTTGTACGCTTGCCAAATGTTTAATGATGGAGAAATATTATGTTTTCTTTTACTAACTTGATCTTTCTCATAACTGACACTGAAGGGAAAGCTAACTAAAGTCCAACATGCTCTATGCCATTATGTTTCAGTTTAGCCATCTGTAGAAAACAGAAAAATATTCTGCTAACAAACCTTCACATATGCTATTTGGTGTCTGTTAACATTATGGGCAGAACTGAGAGATCCAGGTCTCAGTCTCTGAGGCTGAAGAGAGGATCAAACAACTGGTGACATAGTGGACCTGTAAGAGGGGCTGTGTCAGCAGGCTTGGGTCACAGGGAACTTGCTTTTCCTTTGACTGGATGCTGCATTCCCTCCCAGGGAGAAATTCTGGGAGGAAGGACAAAAGAGTTAAAGATTCATGTGGAAACTTATTCATGTGAATGCAGATGCAGTAAATGTTTTTGCTGATAATATAATTTGCGGAGTTCAGCCACGTGCTAGAGAAGTTAGAGAAGTTTGCAGTAACCCTCAGAATGCTGAATCTGCACTGGCTTTCTTCCATTTCTAAAATTTTTAAAGTAGAATTAAATATAGAGCTTATAGACAATTTTCTATTTCTCGTTTCACAAAGTAGGCAACTTTGCAATATCTATTTAAAGAATAAGGAAGGCAGTGTGGATTTGTTATGTCAACTGAAAGTTGTCAATGCAAATACCTGCACGTTCTATTTTTGCATACAATTAGGAATTGGAAAGCTTATGCAATTTTATTTTGGGTTGTGCTAACTTGGGGCTGATTTCAGCTGCCAAGCAGAATGGAATGACTGCATTAAAAAAAAAAAAAATTTAAAAATGTCCATGACTGTGGAATTGCCTGGGCTTTCTTGTCAGCAGACTAATTCCAAGGCCAAAGCTGTCCAGGAGCATCTAACTTCAAAAAATATGGTTTAAAACCAGAGATTCACTGCTATAAATATCCAAACTCTATGGATGACTGCTGTCATTTAAAATTCTTGAAAGTTCTGCATAAGGTGCTGCTGCTGCAGCAGACCCTTACGCATTACTGGTGACATTCATGTGAAATTAGCAAACTTTGCAAGTGAAATGGCTTTTTGAAAAGGCTGATGTGATATGCTGAGCTAGAAGCTCTGACAAAAGCAGTCTACTTCTGTGTTGATTTTCATCACCAGCCATCAACAGCAAGGAGAGGAATTCCATCTTATGCTGGGTAGCAGATTTTTTGGATGATGCCTGAGGCACAGTTGGCTGTCACTTGCTGCTTGCTGCTCTATTAGTTGTGTAATGCTGACAACAATATAAACAAGTTGTCAGTTTGTTAACCCAATAAAATTTAGAAAATAGATATATTGCATCAAGTTGCAGTTTTTAGTGACTTATAAAAAAAGTCTCTACCTATAAATAGATGATGATGATGATGCACAGTTGTACACTTTATGTATTGAAGTAAATGAGAAAATGGGCATTTGATGACATTAGGGAACTATGTTATGCTAAACAATCAAAATAAAGTTTCCTTTATGAATTTTGAAAATTCATTAGCTTGACAGAGCAGCTAAAGCAATATACAAAAAAATAAATGGACAAGAAAACAAAACAGTATGAGAATTATATTTCTCTTGGGAATGGTATATCAGCAAAATTATTAAGATCTGGTTTAAGTTACTCATTCATGTAATCAAGTTTTTAATGTCATATATGCTTAGAAAGTCATGTTTATATGAAATGGTTCCTGCTTTTTGATATACAACAAACTTTAGCGTCATTACGCAGCTTTTTTCTAAGCAATGCAATCAAAGGCCCAAAATTATCAGAGTGCAATTAAAAAAATGGTTTTTTTAAGATCTAAAATTTGTAAGATAGGGAAAGTAAGTCATAAACTAAATTGTACCAGCACAGGTTTTAAAAGGCATATGTTGGAGCCTGTTACATGCAGTGTGATATATAGGTGAAAAGATGTTACATGCTGTCTTGTCACCTTTAAAATATGTATTCCTTTTTAGCACGGCATGTTCCCCTCACTCTTCTTTCTTCCTGTAGTCAGTTTTTCTGGGGAAAGGAAAGGACTTTTACAGAGCTGAATTTCCCAAGCTGTTCCAAAATTCAGGTTGGAAGTTCACATGTTCCCCTTTTAGAAATAAAGAATTCTGTAAAGAATGCTTTAATTCTTGCTAACATGAGTATAAATGTAGAAAACCACATAGAGCATATTCATACATATATACAAGAACAAATGGGTGCCTTGCTTTTCATTACTCTTTCTTGCCTGGCTAATCTTCATTTTCTAAACAAAGCTACGTACAGATACTGCAGTTGTAATTTTTCATTATGGAACATTAGCATTTAATCTTGATGAAACAGGGTTTTCTTGATTACATTTGACATACAATAAACTACTTCAGCAGATTGGGATTTGACGGAGAATCACCTCCCATGGATTATGTTTTTGACAAATGTGTCCCTCCCGAGTGTTCCTCAGGGATATGGAAGGTCTCCAATACTTGGGAAGGTAATAATTCTAGTTTTTATTGTACAGTGACTGCACGTCATCTTGTACAATGGAAAAGAAATGACAAATACTGAGGTCTTTGGCAGAAGGTGGTACAGGGTATAAAATTTTAGATTTTAATTCAGTTGATTAATACTCCATTTAAACTATAGAATATGCTTTAGTTAGTAAATGTTTAAATAATATACTGAAACAGACAAAAGATGCTGTTGAAAGAAGTTTTCCAAACTGATGTGCTGGCAAATGCAATGTACTGGTGAGCAGTATAAAGAATAAACCATTTTGCAATGCTTTAGTGATTTTCTCCAGCTTTATGCCATAGGAATCCCATCTCTCCTTTGGAAAGAAAACCTGAAAGCTCTATTTCCTATACTGCCTGCACTACAACAGTATATTCAAAGGAATTTCATATGCTTCTTGTGTCTGATAAATAGGATTTGCATATTGTACTTAAGTTGTAATTCAGTGGTTGTTGACATTTGTTTAATTATTATCATTTTAGGGGGGGAAATAAGCTATACTGTAGCATTTCAATCGTGTATTTAATATTACTATCAGAAATTGCTAGACCATTGGAAGACAGCAATGACTGTATTGACATTGATTAGCATGATGTGGAAACTCTCTCAGCTGTTGGTTTTTGCAGTGTGATATAAAAAGCAAAAATGAACCGCTGTGCAGTTTGGCTTATGTTTGCTTTAAAGTGTGTAAAGTTTTAGTTATTTTGCAAAACTGTACTGTATTTGGGGGTATACAATTATGGAGGTAACAGTTGTTTTTCAAAGGACAGATAAACTTTCTCTTGGATCATATGATGTATCATCTTAATTTGGCTTTTGTTATGCAGAAAGTTAACACCAGCTATTAAAATATATTTTAGTAGAAATGCTTTAATTCCTGTTTCTTCCTCTACACTGTGAATATTTAAGCTTTGGTGGACTAGAGCAACATCATGCTGCCCAAAGTACTAACCTATGCAAACTAGTTCACATTTTAGTTGATGTCACAGTGGATGTAACATAGCAATTTATTTTGCAGAACATTAACCGTCATTCAAATAAAATATTAAACCCAGCACGATGTATGTATTATATTCATAAACAATACCCTGTAAAGCTACCATTCCCATTAATATAAGCTATCTAAGATGTATATTGTGTTTATTAAGGAAGCTTTAAGTTTTCAAACTTAAGTAGAATATTTAGCACTATTATTTGTCAAGCTTGATCTCAGAAAATAGTTTCCTAAAACACTGTTTTATTTCAGACATGCCCTCTCCTTAGAGGGTTAACTTGTTTTTTCAGACTGTATTTGTAACCTTTCAACAGAACACCAAGTTACATTCCATGCCCCTTGGTTTGTTTAAATAAGCAAAGATAGTAAGTGAAGGAGATCTGCTGATTTAATTGATCCTGGTGTGCTGGACTTCGAATGGGCATTTGGCTAAGCGTGCTCTCAGAGCAACACTAATGAAAAGAAATTGATTTACTGGCTTCTTTAAGACAGTTTTATATACAAATGTTGTTCTTGGGTTATCTTTATTCATTTACACAAGTCATTTATTTTTGCAGCATTGTAAGAAAGTTTAAGTTAAAATAAAATCTAGAAGTATTTTGGAACTGCTCTGCCTGTAGTTGAAGAAGATTATTATGCTTAGAGACATGTTTTATTTATTTGAGTGTTAACTGTACTGTGTAATGGACTGCATTAGAATATTTTTATCAAGTGTTAGTTTGAAGAAGGCTGTTAACAATGAATGAGGACAAATGGCAGCTCCAGATGGAACTGGTTAGTGCCTTCTAGGTAAGTGACATACAGTTACTACCACACTAATT